TTAAAATGAATAGTGCTTTGCTTGCTTTTAAATTTCCGAAGCGTAAAGCAACACAGTTAGGTTTGTTTTATTTTATTTTTTTTAAGCTGCTGTATGGTCACAGTTAGGACTCCTTAGTCCCTGTTCACATTTTAAAAAAAAGTGCGTCAAAACTCTCAACACAAGAAATCCCATTAGTTTTGTTGCAAGCTGTAAAACGCTGAACGCTGGAAAAGGTACATGAGCTTCTTTCGGGCAGATTACAGCATGTTTGGCCGCATAGAGTTCAATGGAAGAACATTAAAACGCGTGTCAACGTTAAAACTTCTGTGTGCGTTTGCGCGCACGTTTCATCATTCACAGCGTTTTGACCTGTTTTTTGCCTATGCGCGTTAACGCGCGTCAAAATGTGCAAAAACGTGCTAACCGTACGAGCGAAAACTGTGTGTTTTATGTGCGGAAACGCTGTCGCCTAGGTGTAAATGGAGACTTGGTTATCTAATGGTTTTATATACTTGCTAGTCTGTGTTTAATGCTTTCATTATATGATAGTGTAACGGTATCTTTGACTATGCTTAATGTCAGTAAAGCTGTTTAAAGAGCTGAATCACCTTTTTCAATTTTTGTTTTATAGGCACGGGTTTACATACATGGGGACTGAAAATGATTTCATGAAAGTAATAAACAAAAATAATGAAATGGAGCTGTAAGTATACACAGTTCTTTTGCTTGTTTAGTTTCGTTTTGAATCTGTAATAGACTTTACTGTTTAAAGTTGGCTTTCCGCTAAATATGTCACCCATTGGTCAAGTTATTTATTAAAGCCAACCTGCCAAGTTACCAAAAAGCAAATATGAAGACTTCCTGGGATCTTCGGCCTGTGTCTTCTGCCTTCCCTCCTTTTTAGACCTGCAGCCGCTATCACTCTCTTCGGTCCCGGAGTATTGAATGCCTGTGTCTTCTGTCCGTGGTCACAATTCTTTACTTTAACCGTTGTGTCACTGCTGTAACAAACTAAGGGTGGGAGGAAATCATGGTGTGGCATGGGTGACGGAAATTCGACTGGCCTGGAATGGTCAAATGCCAAAGACAAAGAGGAGACTGCAACTTAGGAATTGAGGAAAGTTAGTAAACCCCGGCCTTCAGACTTTTGTACCTCTTCTTTTGCAGTGAGGTTTCATCTCTAATTTTTGCTTACCTGACAGGGTTGCTTTAAAGTTATAATCACCCCACAAAAGAAGAGTTCTAATTCTTACCAGTCTGATGGGCAGTCTAAAAAATCTCAGAACTTTGCTCTCTTTAAAGTAACACTAAATTCAGGCGTTAAATCTTAAAAATACATTCAAGTAGCTTAACTATTAACATAAGTGTATCTTATTTGTGTATCACTCGGCTGTAGATCCTCAAATTATCTCTGAATTGGTGTTGCCACTGTCCTTCCTTCTGGAGGGGGGCTACTTTTGTTCCCCATGGTTCTGTGTGTGTTGTAAAGTAGCCGCCACTCCTGCGATGACTACAATCTCAATACAAATTAGTAAACTAACCATGAGATTATACTCCATCATGGAAGCGAGCTTGGAGCGGTGGCTACTTTACAGCACACACACAGGGACCATGGGGAACAAAAGTAGCCACTCTCCAGAAGGAAGGACAGTGTCAGCACCAATTCAAAGATGATTTGAGGATCTACAGCCGAGTGATACACAAATAAGATACATCTATGTTAACAGTTATGGTACTTGAATGCATTTTTAAGATTTAACTCCTGAGTTTAGTGTTACTTTGAGGTACGCCAGACAAAATGTCCTGGATGCCTGCATCCCCTGCTATGCACTGTGCTTCCACTCACCAGCCATTACGTCACTACAGCTCTGCAGGGACACCCATATTTATATTACAGCTTAGTGTTTGGCAGTGGTTCCACTTTAAAGATGTCATATCCAGGAGAGTAAAAAATACTGAAAATTAAATATTCGTATTCTGTTTTAACTTTGTCTTCCATCAAAGCATAATATCCTTTTTGTGTATATTTTATGCATGTTGATATTGTTGAAAATAAGCCTCAGACATTCGATGGCAGATTCAGGGGCTTGATCTGACACTGAGCAAGCATTTTTAAGCTATTGTGGTGTTAATATGCACGTTGGTACTACCCAGGCATGTATAATCATACTTTGTAAGAGAGCAAAGAAGCACCCCCCTGTTGCATCCCTAATGTCAAGCAGAATTATAGTGGTTGGTTGAAAAAAATCTGTGTTTACCTGAGAAAGATGAGCAAAGTGTTCCTGCTGGTACCCAGGCATTCATGTCACCATCTGTGGCTGAAATACTTATATCTGTGGGCAATTTTTTGTTTTGTTTTTTTCAATTATTACTTAGATAACATTATTTTATATGCTTCTATTTTTAGCTACGAACTTCTACATGTGCTGAACTTTGATCCAGTCAGACGGCGCATGAGTGTTCTTGTAAAAGCAAACACAGGTACAGATTAATTGCTTCTAATAAAAACACAGAAGCTTGTGTATATCAGTTTACTGCAGTTTCTAGTGAAGTAATGTTTCCGGTTGACTAATTTAACATTGTTCTGAAGGCCAAAGTCAACTTGCAAGATGTTTCACAGGTGGGTCTTGGACAGGAAAGGCAATCAGGAAGAATATTTATAGAATACACGTTCCTCTTTACACGTATGATTTTCACTAGGGATGCACCGATACCACTTTTTTAAGACCGAGTACCGATACTTTTGCTCAAGTACTCGCCGATACCAATTACCGATACTTTTTCTTAAAGGACCAGGTCACATTTTTTCTAAAGCAATACAAACTAATGGTTTTAGGTCAGTTTCTTAATATTATGATTCATGAGATGACGAGGGAGCATGACGCCGGCTTCCCGGCCAATCAGAATGCCGGACACTGCGTCATTACACGGCACCCGGCTTCCGGATTGGCTAGCTTTCTGACCAATCGGGAAGCCGGGCAGCGCGTCATTGCACGCTACCAGGCTTCCTGATTTGCCGGGAAGTCGGCTCCATGCTCTCTCATCACAAGTGACGAGAGAGCATGGAGCAGTTTGCCGGCCAATGAGGAAACCGGGCAGCGTGTAATGACGAGCTGCCTGGCTTCCTGATACAGGAAGTACTCGTGCTAGGTATCGGAGCATTTGGGCGAGCTCTTCTCTAATGTATTTAACCCTTCCGCTGCCACCGACGTAAGGCATACGGCTGAACAAAAGTGTTCCCGGCTGGCCAGCTCAGTATGCCTTACGTCGATGGCATTTACAGTTCTGCTATAAGCTCATGGTCGATTTAGCGACCATAAGCTTATAGCAGAACTGTTCAGCAGACTGTCCCCTTCAAAATAACAGCGGTCATCAGCGGCTCAAAAGCCGCTGATGACCGCTATTAACGAAAATATTAACGAAAATTGACCGCTATTAACGAAAATACCGCCCTGGAGTCTTTCATCCCTGCCTAAAGCTGCTCCATGCAGGGATGAGAGACTCCATGGATCCCCACTGCTGTCCCCCCCGTAGGGTCTGTAGCAGTGGGGATCCGATTTAAAATTGGCCGGCGGGGGGGCCAATTTCCGGATGACAGCGGCTCTGTAGCATGACCGAGCGGGGGATCGTTAAATATCATTGATATTTAGCGATCCCTCTGTGCAGAGCAAACACCGGATCGATCGTGTAATCACTCCGGTGTTCGTAAATAACTGGGGACACATAACTGGGGACACATATGACAAAAAACTTCAATAAATTAAGCTTTTGCTATCTTAAAAGGATTGGTGTGCTGGTGACATTTCTACAATTGCTGACATTCGCTGCGCCATCCACGGTCACTGCGAGCACCCCCCACTACAAGGGACATATCGGTAAGGAGTGCGACAAGGATAGTACTTATCACATAGTACTATGTGTCCCCAGTTATGAATGGACAGGCTGTGATTTACATCACAGCCTGTTCATTCAAGAATTAATAAATGGGGACTAGCACTCACTACAGAGGCTCCTCCCCATTCATAACTTAATGATAGTAAGATATTTTTACTATCATTAGTTTGTGAAGGAATGAGAAGCCTCTGTACTGAGTTCTTCCCATTCATTGAGTGCTGGGGCTGCAGAAAATGAAATTGAGGACTCTATATCCTCAAATTCTTTTTCCATTTCAAAAGGGAAATGACAGACCCCAGATATTTCACCGCAGCCACCCCCTCGGTACTTCTGTGGTACCGAGTAGAATAGAAAAAGTAGAAAAAAAAGGAGAAAATGATTGGGCGGCGCTAGCATTGACAGCTAGCTCCACCCAACTGTTTTCTATTGGCCGGGACCAGCTGTCATTACAATGAGAGCTTGTCGGAGCCGGCGGTGATATCAAAGCTGGCTCTGACAAGCTCTCATGGCAGTTCAGCATCCCCTGGTCACTAGGTAACCAGGAGATGCTGAACTGTCATTACACACTGAGAACCCAGCGGAGCTGCTGTGATATCATGGCGGGTTCGCAGTGTGTAATGACAGTCCAGCTTCCCCTAGTTACTAGGTACCCAGGAGATGCTGAACCGTCATTACACACTGGGAACCCGGCAGAGCCACTGTGATATCATGGCAGCACTGCCGGGTTCTCAGTAGGTAATGACAGTCCAGCGTCCCCTGGTTATTAGGTACCCAGGAGATGCTGAACCGTCATTACACACTGGGAACCCGGCAGAGCCACTGTGATATCATGGCAGCACTGCCGGGTTCTCAGTGTAATGACAGATCAGTGTCCCTGGTAACCAGGGACGCTGATCTGTCTCTGCATGCAAGGCATCTCAGGCGTGAGATGACGGCTGGCTCCACCAAGCTGTCAGTAGCAGGTTGTCGGCCGTTCGGCCAGCTTCGGAGTAAAAAAAAAAAAGCACAACCCCTCCCCCCAAATGTAAAGTTACAAATAAAGAATTATTTTTTTTTCCAAGTCCCCCACCATACATACACACATGCAAACAGGCGTCGGGTGCGCATACGTGTAAAAACGACGATTCCGCCCATAACGCCGCACATGCTACATATCGTCGTCGCGAACGTCGGAATGAGAGCAATAGTTCTAGGGCCATCAATCACTGATAACCGATGAGCTGTAAAAGCTTTTAAAGCGTCGCCTATAGTCAATTTTGGGTATGGTAGTTTTTTTGCGATTTCGCGGGTGCGCGCAATTTTAAAGCATGACATGTTTGGTGTTTATTTATCAGACATGACCCCGTCTTTTATATTTTACCAAAAATATGGGTGATAATCATTGTTTCCTAATATAATGGGGGAAAATTACATGTTCCCAAAATTTTCAAATTTTTCCTTAATATAGTAAAAAATACAAATTAAATACCACCAAAAGAAAGCTCTATCTGTCCCCAAAAAAGGGTATAAAATTGGTTTCAGTACAGTGTTGCATGACGGAATAAACATTAATCAAAGTACCGCAGCGCTGAACACTGAAAAATGGCCTGGCCAGGAAGGGGGTCTAAACACTTAGTCTTGAAGTGGTTAAAAATGCCCACCTGCATCGAAGAAGCCGCTGTCCGGCTGTTTATTTACAACGGCCGGACAGCAGGTGGTCAAGCTACATTTTAAAACTGCGTGACCCTACATTCCTCAGATAGACCATGTCATCATGCTAGAGTTGTCAAAAATGTTGTTAAACTGAAAATATTGAATTGTAAAAATTCTAGAGTTCACAGAGAAAAACTAACTTCAGATTTGGATTCATCACATTCAAATTAGGTAAGAACAGGTGCTGGTATCAATGCAACAAAAACTTGGTTCCCCAGTGTAATTGTTTCATGTTAAGTACTATATTTACATGAACGTCAGCTGGCTCATTAACATTGTGCTTTTCTTATGTTCCTTCTGTTACAGGACAGATTTTCCTTTTCTGCAAAGGAGCCGATTCTTCTGTGTTTAGCAGAGTGGCGCATGATGAGGTTGAGCGGGTTAAGGTACACGTGGAACAGAATGCTTTGGTAGGTCTAGCACTCGTTTTATACATACCTAGACTTCAGTGTATGATTATTGTTTGAAGGCATCACAGGTGTATGGTATTGCATCCTTCTCAATGACTGCGCCTACATATAAACCCGCTTTTCTCGGGTATTCCAAACACATCTCTATCCCTGCCCTGAACATTAAGGGCTAATACCAGCTTTGCATGTAGTAGATGTGTGAATTAATTTGTAGAAACAAAAAGGACTGCTGGTGGAGGCAGCTGTTTATGGCTAAGACATTATGCTGTTCACTAGGACTTGGTTAGCTCATCGAAGCATGAAAAGCTGGAATAAAAGGGTTTATAGAAACATGAAAAAAGTAAAAGTGCAGTTGTTGCTCATAACAACCGGACAGCTTTCTTTTCTAAGCTACACAAGGAATTGGGTGAAATGAGATTGGCTGATGTCACATTCCTTACTCCAGCATCCAGCTGCTTGTATTGTCCACGGCCATCATTAATTTCTCTATTCTGGCTAAATCTTAGGGTTGAACTAACTGGAGAAACTCAAATGGTGATAATTAAAACCGTATTTATTAATGTCTGAAATAAGGAATACCCGTGTTACTCTTTGGCAAATGTTTTATGCATCCACCTTGGAGCAATAACAGTTGTAATTGCAGAAATTCAGATTTTTGTGGATTCTGTTATTGTTGCTCTCATGTAGACCTACCAGCCTTATTATTATGGAAGAGAAAGAAATTTACCAAGATCTGTGCTTGTCCCCTGTGCACACAAGAGGCCTTCTTTTTCTCAAAAGTGTTTGTGGAGTCTCATTAACTAATCAAATTAAGACCTGCACTTAAAAATTACACATTGGGATGGAAATGGGATATCTTTGGTTGCTTTGAAGCAATAATAGATGCTACATGTTATAATGCGATGATTATAATAAAACAGATTGTGAATGCAGATGGATGGCAGTATAACATTGAATTTATCTGTTTGTTGTGCTTTGGTGTATTTCCTTTTATTTTGTCCACACAGAAATACAAAATCATTATTTTGTGCTTGTTTTGATGTTTTACTTTCTACATTGTAGCAGCATTGTAAAGATCAGGCATGCAGTCACCAGGAACTAGTACCCCTAGGCCCCATGCATAACATAGGAGACATTATCTTGGAAGTATAAACCATTTTCATGCTTCCCAATTCTTTTGTTCCTGTGCTAAACGGTCCCAGGACACAGAAAATTCTTGTTTCTGTAAACACAGTTAGGCTGAATGCACCTAGACGCTGCTGAACATTTAGTGCCTTTAGCCATAGTAAAGCATTTCATGCTTTCAGTTGCATTTAGAAATGAGCTCTAAAATCACTTAGAAATATGTATTTTAATGCCAGTTTGCACGGGGCCATACATGTACAATTTGCCCTCTTGCAGTGTTAGAGTAACACTTTAGTATAATTTTATGGTATATTCCAGGTGACATATTGAATGTTTCTTTTTCTTCTCTGTATATTTAGAGCCTGTAGTAGCTATTGGGATTGCATGGTTGTTATGTGATAAATAATGGAGTCAGTGTATAGAGCACTGGAAGTGACCTCAGAAGACCATGGTCTAGGCACACTTCAATCTAAAATGGTTCCGTCTGGTTTAGTACTGCAACAAACTAATTGATTCATCGATATGAGGATCATTGTCAGCGATTCTCATTTATCAGTTAGTTGGTGTGGATCCCCTAGTGTTCTCCTCTGCGCATCGGAGCTGGTGTTTCGGCTGGCTATTGCATCCCACTGCCTGCTGTGATTGCCTGTGGAATCTTGCCGCCAGCAGCTTTCATTCCCTTGCTGAAGCTGTTCAAGTGCGATGTGTGCTTGAATAGCTTCTTTGAAGTGGAAAGGTAACACTAGGTGTCTAAAAGATTCCTAATGTCATCTTAAAGGGAACCGGTTACCTCCAATGTGCTCATGCATAGGGGGTTTGTGAGCCCCCCCATGTGATTATGAATAAAGTCAAGTTAAAAAAAAAAGGTAAATTAAAATATTAAATACACCAAAAAAATAAAATTTGTAAAATTCCCTGCAAACGTGTCCATACTAACGGAAACACGAGTTGGGTGCACCTAGGTACTAAAACGACAATCGTTAACTCTAAACTGATGACCAGGCTTTTATATTTTTAATAATATATATTGTTTTAAATATTGTGTTTTTTGTCCATTTTTGGTGTGTTATTTTAATTTTTTTAATTGGCTTGCCGTTTTTAAATTCAGAATATTTTCAATTCATGAAACTAATAAAATCTCTATAATAATGCATACAATTATAATTTTAAAAAAAACTTGGGAAAAAAGTAATTTTTGCTTTCGGCCTGACAAATTCTGCTGCGGGAGGTGCGTTGTGGTGCAAATCATTTCAAAGGCACCCCAAACACGCCTCCCGATTGCCCGCACTGGAGCACGCGTTACCGCAATGTCGTGCATTCCAGTGCGGTGAGAGTGCAAAAAATTGTGCATGCAGTTTTATTCTAAATAAACTTTGTTTGTAACTCTGTATTTTAAATAAAATATGGTATTTACATTTTTTTTGTATCCGATTAATCGATGAATTAAAAAATTCGACCAGCTAATCGATTATGAAAATAATCGCTAGTTGCAGCCCTAGTCTGGTTACCTAGGAGATGCTGCCAGAGATCCCTGAAATATTTAGCAGCTGCATAGTCTTACAAAATGAGAAAGCAGTGTATAAGAAAGATCTTTATCTGGTCACATTGTAGTAAAGGATTACTGGCTGGATATACGTGATTAAAATAAAACCCCTTTTTTATTCTTATTCTAGGATGGATATCGTACTTTGTGTGTGGCTTTTAAAGAATTTACTGAAGAGGAGTATGACAAAATTAACAAGCAGCTAACTGCGGCAAAAATGGCTTTGTACAATAGAGAAGATGAACAGGCCAGAGTGTTTGATGACATAGAAGATGGAATGCACTTACTTGGAGCTACCGCAGTAGAAGACAGGTAAAGGGTTAGAGAAGAAGTCTGATTAACAAAAAAATAAAAGGTCCATCCCTCGTCACAACACTGTAAACCATTAGGATTTTCCCTCTCTATGGTGCTGTCAGAGTTTCAGAAATACATTTTATGGTCCACTGAATTAACTGCAAAGAACAGATTAAGGCACATTGAGACCATAAATACATTGCTTGTTGGCCAGTAGAGGTGCATGGAAATAGAAATTTAAAAACCGAAATAAAAAAAATTGTCAGGCCGAAACTGAAAATGTTTTTATTTTAATTTTTTCAAATTTTTCAAATATTTTTATTTTTTATAAACTTTTTTAATTTTCATTCATTTTTTAACTAAATATTTTTATTTTTTACTTTACTTTTTAGGGGCTTTGGGGAAATATTGGGGGTCCAAACAGACCCTTGATATTTCCCTTTTAAAATAGAAAAAGAGATTGAGAACACAGAGTCCTCAATTTTTTTTTCTGTATCCCCTGTTATCAATGAACAGGAATCCTCTGAGTGTTCCTGTTTATTGATAACATGAGGACATAGTATGTTTACTATAACTACAACTATAAATGAACAGGAGGTGATGTAGATCACTCCCATTCATTCATAATTGAGGATATAGTAACCATACCATATCCTCAATTATGTACACACACTTAGCGATCACTGATCTCTGAGTGTTTGTACTCGCTCTCCTCTCTGACACGTCTTCACAGGAGGCTGAGTGAGCAGTGCAGGGAGGAGCGTTCAACCTCCTGTGACAGCGCAGGCTGTCTCCGCCCCCACATCGCACTGCCAGACTGTGATAGGAGGCTGAGCGGTGTGGGAGGAGAGACACCGGCCGCTCACAGCGCTCAGCGGGGAGGAAAGAAACCGTGGATGCGCCGATGTATCGGCAGGAAAATGGCACTTTCGGCATTTAGCAAAAAGTAAAATTTTCGGCCGATATGTTTCGAAGGCCGATATATTGGTGCATCCCTAATTAAAAATATAAATAGGTGATTGTATTTATTTTTTTACCTGTTAAAACAAAGTCATCTAGACACAGACCCTGCTACCCAGTCTTCTTTGGCATATTTGCCAACCTCTGCTGATTTCTGCAAGGACAGCTGGAAAATATAAACACTGTGTTGGTGTCTTACAAGACGTAGTTAGGATCGTTTCTGCTAACAAAAGGTGCCTATTTAGAATTTGGCAGCATATTTTCTGCTTATTGCAGAAGGAAACGTGGAACAAAAGTTGCCTATAGTCATACATCATCCTTTTATTCTCTGCATAAGTGAAGCTCAGACTTGACCACTATCGGCAGCAACTGCAGTTTTTAAACCTTTTATTTTTTGTTAGGAGCCCTCAGAGATGTTAGTGTGAGTTTAGCCCACAGTAATGTGTGTTTCTGTCTCCTATTATTGAGCTGTCATTCTCTCATAGCTAAACTCTGCTGCTGCTATTTATTCTGCATTATGGAAAATCTTCTGACAGAGCATGATTTGACCATTTAAATTGTAATAATCCTAACATTTGGGAGGAAATGGGGGAACAGCAGTGATATCATCAAAAAGCTATGAGAGGTTGGACTGTGCTTCAGCTTGTTGACAACCACACAACACTACTAAATCTCTTTTGGATTAAGTTGGCTTTTAATAAGGTAGTATTTACAAAAATGTAATTAATGAAAGTTAACTTAGAGGCAGAAATTTTACAAGGGTATACAAAATTGTAAAGATAAATTAAGGCACTTGTGTGGATAGATGCATCACAGTTATTCATTTTCCTGGTTGTAAATATTAATTTCATGGAACAGTTACACCCAGTGATGTCACTCCACTACAGATCTCCGCTCAGCATCTTCTGGTGACTCACTAATACTAATCGCATAGGCAGTGTTCATATTGCTGTCAAAATAAAATGCCATAACTACACTTCATAAGACCATAAGTGTTATTTTTGTCATTTGGAAACAATCCAGCTTGGGAGTGGATGGTCCAATTTTTAGAAATGTGGTCCTGCACTTATGTAACAAGTTCTAAAAAAAATGGATATTTGACATCCACACCCGGGACAATGGGGTTGATTTACTGCAGGAATAGAAGCTGTTCACTTTGAAATGTATGTTTATTTTGCAAAAGAATGATGGTAAATAAGGCGAACTTATATTCATTTTAAATACCCAATCATATATGTGAAGAATAAATAAAATTTAAAAAACAGCATTTTTTTCTAGCACACGATTTGGTTGTTTGCAGGGTTAATTTTGCTGATGAAAATTTTTCGGCAGCTGCATGTTTTCAGTGACAAACACTAAATGAAAACTAAATAAAAACTAAGTTAATGGGACTAAAACTATGCCGAACCTACATTGCAATTTTCTCTACTGGGGAGTTCGTCGACAAAACAAATCAAACAACTAAAACTAAAATGCCATTTTAGTTTGTCGTATTCGTCATCTGAATTGTTTTACTTTTAGTCTGGTTTTGTTGACTAAATCTCCATTAGAGAAAATTGCAATGTATGTTCGTCATAGTTTGTCCTTTTGACTGTGTTTTTATTGAGTTTTCATTTAGTCTTTGTCACTGAAAACATACAGCTGCCGAAAACTATGATGAACATTTGTCAACAACTAAATTAACACTGGTTGTTTGAAGTGAAACCAATGTTATGGTATTTACTAATGTAAGTCGATGGAGAGACCTCCGCACTCCCCACAGCAGTCCCGGCCAGATAAGAAAAAAAGTGGTGCTCGCAGTGATGAATTACCACGGATGGCGCCGTGCAAACACAGGAAAGTCAGGAAATCACCAGCACTCAGTAGTAAAGATAAATATGTCCCTTTTATTGGACAGAAAGCGTCACAGACATCCAAATAAACCAACGTTTCTTTCTGCCTTGAGGAAGGGACCCTGCGCACCCCCGAGACGTCGGTTTATTTGGATGTCTGTGATGCTTTCTGTCCAATAAAAGGGACATATTTATGTTTACTACTGAGTGCTGGTGATTTCCTGACTTTCCTATGGTATTTACTAAAACACTGTTACATTTGTAAATCAACCCACATAATTTTAGTTTATGCACAATGTGCAGCTGGATTTTTTTATTTTGGTAATTCAGTATTAGCAGATAATGATCACGCTGTGTAGGCATTCCCTGACCATACATCATTAACAGATTAGGTCTAAACTGCTCAAAGCTTAACTTCAGGCAGTCATTTAATCACAAATGAATGTGGTTCTGCATTGATTAATACATTCCTTTTTAAAAGAAGAACTAAAGCAATCCTTTTTATTTTTTGGGCTTTAGTCTTCCTTTGGGTCTGGATCCCCCCCCTGGCTCTGCCTCTCTAGAGCCAGCTGTGCCTGCCCTCACCCACTGTTTGTCCCTACAGTGAGTTCTGGAGGAACATAGAGGAGAAGGGGAAATCCCTGCAGGGACAGTGACTGACAGTCACCCTTCTCTGCAAGGAGAAGACCGTGAGCTCAGCAATCAGTGGTTCATGATCACTCGGCTCTCTCTCCCTCTCTATCTATCTATCTTGTATTTAGTACGGCTTCCCGGCCAATCAGGAAGCCGGGCACCGTGTAATGACTTGCCACTTGGCTTCTTCATTGGCCATCGAAGCTGACCAATCAGGAAGCCAGGAGGTGAATCATTACCCTACCCCCCGGTTCCTGGTTGGCCAGAAAGCTGGCTCCATGCATGGAGAATGCTTCCCTGCTAATAGGGAATCCGGGTGATGGGCCATTACACGCCTCTTGGCTAATCAGGAAGCCGGGTGATGGGCCATTACACGCTGCCCGGCTTCCTTAATGGGACTTCCGGTTTTGAAATTCGCTACCGACACACACACACACACACACACTTGTGCTACAGTGTTCATTTGCTGCCCAATCACAGACTATGGGAGGGACAAGACCTGTAAGAGTTACTGAAGAAAAGTCTTCACACCTGCCCAGCCGAATGGACAGAAATACATATCTGTAGTAAAACAGCTCCCATATGTATATCATCAGTGTATTTAGCAGCCTGCCTGCAGTTCAGCTATAAATTGGAAGTTCAGCTTTAGTTTTGTATATATTGGGGAAAGATTGGAAGCTCTGCCAGGCTCTTATTTCACTCTGTGCTTCTGATGAGATGACTTTTCTTCACATCTTAATCATATAACCACTGCCACAGGCAGTTTGGAAGGAACTGCCAAAGACAGACAGCACTTCAAATCTCGCACATTTTTTTGCCTTACGTTGCTAAAAAAAAAAAAAAAATTCTGTTTATTTGCCGTTCCAGATGTAGTTACAGTTTAGTCCGTATTTAGGACATGTATTGGTAGCTTTAAAGTGGAATGAAACTCTCCTTTGTTTTTGCATGTATCTACTGCTAGCAAGCAGTAGATATATGCAAAAACTTTTTAAAAAAGTTATGAAAAAGGTAAAAACTTACCTGTGTCTCCGCGGCTCGCTCTCCCATCTGAAGATCGGAATCGTCTTGAGCGAATGCACAGGATGATGGGACTGGGCGCATGCGCAGTAGAGATCTTCGGCAACAGAAAAACACAGTGGAGGTGAATGCATGCAGCCGGGAGCAAATAACCCTGGAACCCTCAAAACATTCAAATTTAGTATTTATAGTGAATATTACATTCCCTGCACAGAGATTTTCTATCTCACGGGACAACAAATTAAGCACCAGCAGATGGAGTCTTTATTCTGTGGGGCAGGTTAACTGAGTAGTTAACGCTACAAAGCTGCAAAGTTCTTTCATTTCCAGTTAAAACATTCAGACATCTGGGCACCTTCCTACATACTTGGTGGACATGCCGATAGCACAACTGTTCTGATGTAAGGTTTATGCCCTTCTTCACTGTCCACTCCCATTTCATCCCAGTACAGCCCTATTAGACTTGCAGCTGGAAGGACTTTCCAAACGTCAGTTTGCACTTATGACTCATCAACTGACTGCAGCTAAACAAACCATTGGTAAGGCATGGCTTTCTCCTTTGTTACATTTTTCTGAGGTCAAAGCTCGTTTTTATGAGGCTTTTACTAATGAAAAGTTGTCTGCCAAGTTACTTGACTCTATGCCCAAATTCAGACGAATTAGGGATCCTGGATTGAGCTTTACTTTCCTCCTTGCTTCGATGATAGTCTCATAGATATTTAAATCCTTTCGCTCTACCCCCTTTTGATGGGCTGATATCCCTTCTCCTTCCGGACTTTCTGCCATCTTTCCTCTTATCTTTCCTTTTCCTCACTGCCTTTCTTTCTTCTTTTCCTTTTTCTCCCCATAATCATTTTGTCTTAATAATTGTCCCTGCATTTTTCTTTACCCAGTTGGCATGGAGCCTATCTACCTACTTGGGATACTTTCGTATCGTAAGCTACCCTTTGAGTAAACCCCTGCTTAGTCTTTTTGCACAAATCTTTTGGGACAACATACTTCCGCCTTCCATTGTAAAAAAAGAAGTGGGGTTCCCCTGAGTGCCTCGTGTGTAAAGGAGGGGAGGAATTTAAGAAAGATTAGTCATGCCCCCTCCGAAGAAGTGCCGTTTGGGGAGGAAACACATTAATGCATAGGGTGGTCTTGACACAGTACCTTGATTCCTGGTTGCTCTGTGGTTTTTGCTGAACATGTGGCATGATTAAGTCATTGAAACGAGTATTCAGTACTGCAGGCACTACCAACCATGTGCAAACGTTGCCACAGCCATAAAAGAATCAAAGTATTAATAACCATAATGTATTGAAAGGAATATGTTAATGCAGTATAATCATGAAATATATTGAATAACATCTGTTTTAGAAGACAAAGTAACATAAATGCAAATCAATTTCCACCGATTTGTAGGGAACACCTGGACGTACATGTGCAATCATGATTAGCACATATGCTTGATACATTGGGTTATCAGTTTCATTTATCAATTTTATGGAGGTTTTCAAAACAATGTATGGTTTTTGCAAAAGATTATTGGCGTGACTGTTTTCATAATTACATTTGTATAGGTTTTGTGAATTAATGGTAAATAAAATTGAATTGCATACTTCTTGTCCTGAGTATCTTGATGGTGCGAGGGCTAAAAAGGCTGTATCTGTTGTATGATAAGGATTTGTATCTCAGGGCAAAAAGATAGGACTAGTAATATGCAATACAGTTAACTTTGTCACCCACAAAGTGCCCTCTTGTTTATGGATAGTATTATTGTTGGTTTGACTTGTTCGAATCTGTATTTCCTGGTTTCTTTTTTTTACCTTTGTTGTAAAATTTTACACAGTCTTAGTGTTTTTTGGGGGGTTTTGTTGTAACTTGTTTAATTCGTCATTAATACTATGTCAGGAAAATGAAAAAATAATTTAGAGATTCGGCTGAAAGATTTTTAAATGTCGCTTTAATAAAAGGAAAAGGAAAATGGTGCAGGAAATATTTACAGAAACTATATTACAAGAAAGACATGATCAGCAGTAAAATAAAAGGGTTTAAAAGTGTAAATTACTTCAGTATTGTCCACCTGGTCTTTGGTTCAGTGCGCAGTTTGGATCGCTTACAGAGTTAGTTCAGTATGATATGGCCGTGTACCTGGCTCCTGAGTGACTCCAGGTACAGGGACAAGGGCCCACAATACTGGGTGGAAGTACAGTTGCTTTATTTCCTCAACACCACTGCAACAATTTGAGTTATTTCTTGCATTTTCATCTAAGGATCAAAACTGTGTCTTTCTGTTATTACCAACAGGCTCCAGGAGCAAGCAGCAGAAACAATTGAAGCTCTTCATGCAGCAGGAATGAAAGTTTGGGTGTTGACAGGTGACAAAATGGAGACTGCTAAATCCACATGCTATGCTTCTAAACTGTTCCAGAATAACACTGAATTGCTGGTACTGACGACCAAAATTCTAGAAGAGTGTGAAAGGAAAGAAGAACGCTTGCAGGAACTGCTCAAAGAGTATAATCGGAAACTGGTACAAGAGGCCCCAAAAGTTAAAGGAAGTATTAAAAGGTGAGACCCTCATTTATTAGTCATAAAAGTTTAGAACCCCTGCCAGGCTCCTATTCCTGTCTCTGTTTCTAATAGGGTGATTCTCACTCTAATTTCCCTTGTGCTCATGCCACCGGGGCTGGAGGTTAGGGAACATCATCCAATAAAGACACTTGTTCAGCTGACAACTGTCAAAGTGGATCGCTCTCACTTTGAGGAGATTTCATCTTGCATCCTGCTGTGTATACAGGAATGGATATAAAGTAAAAGCTCCCCAGTGGAACACAGGAAAAAGATGGGTTTTATTATTTACTGCTCTCTCAAAAATGAAAAGTTGATTGTTTTGGCTTTTTATGTGGTTTCATTCTCTGCATTTTGTTGGTCATAGTGAGAGTACTACTGTTTACCTTTCCTTACCAGCCTTCTTCTGTCCATAACTTTGGTGTCTAAAGGTTTTTTTGTTAATCCAGTAATAGAAGCAGAGAGTCACAGCTTTCCTGCCAGGAACATTTCTCTCTTTTAGATCCACAGACAGTGTAACCAATGCCTTTTAGTGCAATCAAGTTGAAAAGTCCAGAACATTGCATCTTACGGGGTAAAAATCAATTTCTTTAAAAGGTGTCATAGACGGAATTACATTCCTGCAATGCATTTCATACTAACAAGGACTTTTACTTAGAGCGACTGGGCTAGTATCCATGGGAAACAGCTTTATCATGTTAGAGGTAACTCCAAGTTAGTAGGAAGGTTACATGCAGGACTTTCTAATCAATGTCATGGAAGGGCCCTGTGTTAAATGTTTTGTGAAAAATATTTTATACAACCAATGAGAAATGTTAAACATCAGTTTATAAACTTGTAAACAAAATATTTACCAAAAATCATTTTATCTTCCCTTTAAATCTGCTCCTCTTTATTGATCATGTGTGGATGCATGCATGGGGAGGGGGGCGATTTAATGTTGCCTCTGGTGCCCTGCCTTAGTGAAGTCACAAGTGAGGGTCTGATTTGAGAAAAAGAATATTAAGATACTTCCAAGACTTCTGAAAAGCCTAAAAACCAGAATTCATGTAATGATAACTCTTTGTTTTAACTGTATTTTGTTCCTTGCTTTTCTGTGTCTATATAGGAAAAAATGTAACTATGGGTCTGTATACTGTTCTTTGTATGTTTCAGGAGCTGGTCAGGAAACCAAGATTATGGCTTGATAATTGATGGTTCCACTCTGTCCCTTATACTGAATTCCAACTGTAGCTCCAGCCATTATAAGAACATGTTTCTGCAGATATGCCAGAAGTGTACTGCAGTCCTATGCTGCCGTATGGCACCATTACAAAAAGCACAGGTGTGTATAAATTAGTGTATGTGTATGGAATTACATATGCTTCTCTAAAAATAGGTCCTATCTGTCATGCTGACAGGAAAAATACATGTGGGTGGTTAAACACTGTAATTATTGTGCTTCGTACATATATTACTTTTTGTTAACAGATTTGCAAAACATTTTCAGGCCTGTCATTGAAACAATGGTGTGTGTATACATTTAATCATGGTAACCCATTGATTGCTGCTGTTCTGCAGGTCAATTTTATTTCTGGCTCACAACCTGTTTTACCTCTTTTCAGATTGTAAAAATGGTAAAAAATACCAAAGGAAACCCCATCACGTTGTCTGTGGGAGATGGAGCAAATGATGTTAGCATGATTTTAGAAGCACATGTTGGAATAGGTAAATAATTTATTTATAGATGTATATATCGATATATATATATATCTATATATATAGATATATATATATCGATATATACACAGATTGTTTTATGCTTGCTTGAGAAACGTCAGCTTGTTGAACATGACTGAATAATTACAGTGGCTATTTAAAGCATTCACAGTGCATGTTTTGACCTTACCTAGTTTCTTTCATTTTGAGGGCTTAGTAACACTTCACTGAGCTCCTTGGTGAGGATGGCCCAGTAACTTTGTGCTTTGTTTAATGCTGTGTGCTCTGGTAATGTGCTATATATTCATCCTTGAAAGAACCATGTACACCAGGAAAGCCTTGAGTTGACAGAATTTTGTAGCAAATCGTGTACTTGGACTCAAAGGAGCTAGATGATGTTTTTTCTTCGTTTTGTCAGCAAAGCATCTCATCAGTAAATAATATTCACTTGTCATGACACAGTGCCATGGATGATATTCAAAAACGTTGCAGAACAATGGGTACCTTTTAAAGTTTAGTATGATTTCTAGCAGCTATTCAACTGCAGTAATTTGGTTGCTTTCATGAACATGTTTGCCTCTTATGTGCAGCTAAAGCTCTCTGTAGTAGTTTGTGTCTGTGTGACCCATCCCACCCCAGATGAGAGCAAATGTTGTAAGGTTTTGGCTCAACGGGTGGACCTGTATGAAATATTGGAAATTCATCAAACAAATGTGCGGTGCTTCCTTCATGTCACTTACAAGATGGTGCATACCTGACTGGAGCATCATAACTAAATAACTTGCATAACTAAGCCCTTCCTACCTACATACAACTTGTTGGGTTTGTGTACTTTGTGGCATCTTCTTAAACTGTGCGTCCTCCGCTGCTACCTTCCCATCTAGACATTTTTTTTGTTCTTTCTCAATTCCAGGCATTAAAGGAAAAGAAGGCCGCCAAGCCGCAAGAAACAGTGATTATGCTGTGCCAAAATTTAAGCACTTAAAAAAACTTATTTTAGCTCATGGGCACTTGTATTATGTGAGAATAGCTCACCTTGTGCAGTATTTCTTTTATAAGGTAAGATTCTATTAATAATGATAATGTGTAGGACAGAACGTTACCTTTGGTCAGATTATTATGACACAAATCATTTATAATGTAGGAAATATCCTGTGAAAGGATCAGTTTGCGAGGCTTCACTTGGCTGGTTCAGAAAATGAGCAGAATGAATTGTGAAGCTGAAAGTGTAACATTGCTGCATTTGCACGGGATGACACTGTGTTAATCTTGTCAATTAGCTGATATCACAAGTGCCTGCGTCTTACCCTCCACTGCTTCTCTCTTGTAAACTGCACATTATAAAATTAGTCTTTGATATATATTTGCTAAACACCTTTGTGAAATGTATGTATTTTTTTAAGTCAATATTTTACTGAGCAGTTAGGCAACACATATAATGCTATGCATATTAATTGGAGTACATACTATGCAGTTATAATTTGTTTTTTCAATAAGCAACATTTATTTGCTGGAATTTTAAACAGGGTATCTGGATGATGGCTTTCAAGCCTGTATAGTTCATGAAGTAACGTGAACAATTTTGTTTGCTATTGTAGCATTAAGACCCCATTCACTCTGAGCTTTTTGTAGCGCCTTTTCCGCTCAAAAATCGCTCAAATAAGAAGCTCAATGTAGCTCCTCCAACGCATTTCAATGGAAATGTTCCCCTCTTGCAGCTCAGTGTCATTTGGGGGAAGGTATATCTGTACACTACACTTATTTTTTAATGGTAAACATTTGCTGGTATAGTTTTTAGTGCACATGCTTCACATGAAGAGGATTTTAATGTATTCATAGCCATGTGTGTGGTTATCTTGAAAGCTTTGAGATATAAAACCAGTTTGGAGAAATTGCATGAGTTTATTAAATTACTGTATGTATTAAAAATGTATTCAGCTATTAAATAACCATTTTTAGTACTATTTAGAATGCCATATTCTATTACCCAGTTCCCAGAGTGTATACACCTAGCAAGAGCCTCAATACTGCTTTTCTATTTAGGTCTCATGGCAGGATTCATAGTTTATGATTTTTTTTTTATGTTACAGAACTTGTGCTTCATTCTGCCCCAGTTTTTGTATCAGTTCTTTTGTGGATTTTCTCAGCAGGTATGTATGTATGTATTTTGTAGAACTTTTGCTCCTTGTTTTGGGATGATGTAATTTAAACGTAACCATAGCAGTCAGGCTAGATTGAATCACTTTTACCATGAGGTTATGAGCTTTGGTGTGGTGAGAGTTATGTCATTGCAGCTGCAAAGCCAACAATTTCCACATTATATCATCAGTAATCCAGCAAAGCTTGCACGTTGTCACTCTGAGAAAACAACAATGAACGTTGAATCTTTTTTAGAAAAGGAACTGTGCATCCACTGGTGACCTGTTTTACTCCTTTTTTTCCTCCCAAGATATGGCCATTGTGCTGGTCACTTTAATAAAACCACAGTCTGTATGCCAGTGGTTAATTTCAGCATTAGATTATAACATAACTACATGTGTTAGGGGTGATGTTGGCCTAAAGCAGGGTTTAGGTTATAGAAACCGGGCAGGATTGCAACCTTTCAATTGTGCAAGGTGTAAATGAACGTGATTTTTAGTTTGCTGAATTCAAGTAAAGTTCCAGTGATCCTGGTAATGTATTCATAGTTTTTCAGGTTGTGGAGGTAGGTGGGGAGCACTGTACGTGAATAGAAAGCCTTGGAAAATCCAGCCGATTGGAGAAGATTCATCACTTTATTGGTGTATGACATAAAACAATCGGGGGGATTTGGGTTCCCTCTTCCTCAAGGCTCTGATAGTGTTAAAGGAGAACTATGGGGTCAGGGCTTTTCCCCATAGTTCTCCTTAGGGTAACAGGAGGACACAAACTAGCGTCCTCCAGTCACCCTAAGCTCAGTATACCGCGGGCTACAGTATTGAGACGCCGCAGCTGAAGCGGATCCCGACAATTGTGCCGGGATCCGCCCAGCTGCGTGACTGACAGCTGGCTCTGCCTATCTAAAGGCAGAGCCAGCTGTACCCGCCCCCTCCCCCGTCCGTTCTGCCAGTCAGCGCTGGCGGATCGGTGGGGGGAATCCAGTCCCTCCCCTGTCACGGCAGAGAGCCGTGACAGGATCGAGAGGTGAGCGAACGCCGGTATATGTTCGCTCACCTCCCGATCTACTGAGCCGACCTGTGACAGTCTCATTGTCACAGGTCGGCTAGAACTATGAGGTGAGTGAGAAGCACTCACCTCATAGTTCAACTTTAAAGCTGTTGGTCATGGGGACTGCAGTCTTAATATATTGGTGTTCTGGAATGTCTGTGGTTTCTGCAGTGGCATGCTTCGCTTCAAAAACAGCGACAGACTAATTTAAATGTATTATGTACTTAAGCAGTGAAAGGTATTCAAGATGCAGTGCAGATTCAAGTTGATGTACTAAAACAGAAAAACTTCACCTTTTATCTCATACTTTTGCTCAAATCCTGGACATAGTAAAGAACAGCTTCAGAAGATGCCAAGAGATATGGTTGCAAGCCCACCCAAGACCTGTCATAGCCACAGACAATATAGGAGGGTTTTCTCCATTGGCATCCCGATGCCTTTAACAGTCAGTGAGAGGAATGACATACCTTGACCTTCTCTGCTCATTATAAAACAGTCGTTTTGAGTTGCATAGCTCTTTAAATAACAGTGTGCACAATCAGCGGTAGCTAGTGGTAGTTATTGACATTCAACTGAATTTGTTCTGTAACGTTGAAAGTTACAAACTACTAATAGGTGTACCTTGACCTGTATAAATTAAAACCTCCACAGACACAATTTGAGGTGTTTGAACTGATTTAGAACAAATCCAATTTTTATCTCTAGGAATATGACTGCGTTGCTACTCAATGCTTTATTAACACATATTTGGTTGTATTTTAATAATCTCCATAATATTTTAATTTTTTGTGTTTTTTAGTTTATTTCTGTTTACTGGTTTTTCTCTTGTTTGTATTTTAGCCACTATATGATGCTGCTTACCTGACCATGTACAACATCTGTTTCACATCTCTTCCAATCCTGGCCTACAGTCTGCTGGAACAGCACATCAGTACTGACACTCTGATGGCAAACCCTAAATTATATATGTATGTATGAAGATTTTAATTTAGAACATTTTTCTTTAGGCTCATGAGGGCAAGGCGCTCTCTCCTATTCCTTGTTTTATCTGTCTTATCTTGTTCCTGCTTGTTTTATCTGTCAGTTTGTACTGCACCATAGAAGGTGACGGCACTATATGAATAAATAATTAGTTTGACATTTGGAGGCTTTATATTTCACAGTGCTGCATTACAGATTGGTTAGACATGTTTACCTTTTTTATGATTCCTCTTTGTGGCATTCTTCCCTTGAGAAGAAGCAGACCATAACATTTTAATGTGCTGCCCTAATGGTGCCTACAAAAAGATGCTGATAACCATAAAAATAATAATTGCCTATTAGGAGTGTCTCATATCTCCTAACTCCAGCCTTTGTTTCCTCCGGGATTAGGTTAGGTTGTGTATCTAACTTGATATTGACTTGCTTGGCGATCCAAGCATGGCTTTAGTTAATGAACACTTGTTTATTTAGGAAACTGTTAGATGGTTGAAATGTTAAAGCATCTTAAAGGAGAATTATGAGGTGAGTGATAAACACTCATCCCCATAATTCAAATCGACGTGTGACACTGGAGCTGTCAGAGGTTTTTGAACCGGTAGTCAGCGGACATATACCACCAATCGCCGACTTCCTGATGCTCTCCCTGCAGAGAGTGGTGACTGTCAGTCACTGCTCCCTGCAGCAATTCTCTTCCTTTCCCTCTCCGTTTCTCCAGCGCTGACTGGAGGAACTGACGGGTTAGGGTCCAGGCATAGCTGGCTTTGGCTTTAGAGAGTCAGCTGTCAATCAGCCAGCGCATCTCAACAGTATTGTCGGGACCCGTCCCGGTTGTATGCTGAGTTTTGGGTCACTGGAAAACATCAGTATATGTCGTCCTGAATCAGTATATGTCGGACAGCCAGCAATCATATTTGAGCCAAATGCTGCAGCTAAATTGTCTCTATCCAGCATTACTAATCCTATGTACTTTCTTATATAGTACTGATTTATAGTTTCTCAAAAAAAGTCCGTAATGTAGCTAGAACCAGTTCTAACCATGTAGAATTCAGCTGTGTGTAATTGCTCAGTGCTTTGTATCTTGCTCAAAGGGATTTATTGTTGGAAATCTTGTAGAATGATTGTCCAAAATAGAGTTCAGTAAACACAAAGATTCCCCACTCCATATGGACTGATAACCCCCCTAGTCCACGCAGTCCAATTCTCTATGGGTGCAGCCACCTAAATCCAATACCCCCTAGCAGGGATCGATCATGGATAGGCAAGTAAATGTTCATAGAGTATATGAAGGGATAGATGAACAACAGACCATAGCATCTTGCAATGATTCCAATTCCCCCGGGAGGAATTCACAAAAGTGTCCAATCATACATGCTTGATCATATGTGACAGTACTGCTCTTTAGTATTGTGAAGTAATTGCTATACAGGCAGTCCCCGGAAGTCCAACTTACGGACAATCCGTACTTACGAACCGGGGTCCATAGTTTTCCTAAATGTACCGGCGGCGGCTGGTACATTTAGGAGAACTGTGGCTGCAGCGGCCTGTGTCCCTTCAAATCCCAGCTGTTCTCCCCGCCTGAGTTGGCGGAGGCAGCGGTGACGCAGACCGCTGCATTGCTGGCTGCCCCCCGTAACTTCGCTGATGTCCCAGGGTCCTCTTCCCGCGGTCCGTCTTCTTCTCTTCCCCGGTCCGGCCGATCCTCCGCTCCGACGGTCCTGCCGCGGCTTCTTTGCCCCGCCCCCCTGCCTCCTCTTCGTCTGCATGCTGGGAGCCATACCCAGCCTGCTATTGGATATTGTAAAATGCAATAGCCAATAGCAAGCTGGCTATTGCACCCACCTACTGCCTGTTGTCAATCAGCATGGGAGGACCTGATGGAGAACTTTCTCCTTCAGGCTCCTCCTCTGCTGATTGATAGCAGGCAGTGGGCAGATGCAATAGCCAGCCTGCTATTGCAATTTGAAATAGCCAATAGCAGGCTGGCTATTGCTCCCAGCATTAAAATAAAATAAAATAAAATAAAAAGTTTGT